CGTTCGGATAGGATTCGTTCCCTTGGACTAATAAGAAGGGAGTTTCTGCTAGGGGTCCAAGGTTATTCACTATGTAAACCTAATAAAGCAATCATTAGCCATTGCGCCACTTTCCTTCCAAAATCATGATGCTGCAAAAAAATTCCGATCGCAGTACCTAATGGTGTTAGAGGTTCATTTGAAAGGCCAAAATTGTGAAAGTTTTTCGAGTTCGATTTCACCCCTGAAAACTGCACCCATAATTTCAACAGGAAACCATTGCCAATGACCATGCATCCATTTTCCTTCCCAATCACCTTCATGAGGAAAGGCTATTTGGCTAATTTTAGAAAGTATTGCCAACACAGACAGCAAAAGCCAAAGGAACGTAAAAGTAAGACGAAGAGCTGGAACATTTATTTCTTTCCCCTCTTTTTCATCAAAAGATCAAGAGGAACATTCCCACCGTTGGCACATCGGGAACATACACAGGTTTTCCGGCCGCGACGATTCTCGCAATAGCCAGTGCCGCAGTTCTGAATATTTTGAGCTCATGGTCAGTAAAAGTTACTTGTCAATTGAAGTTATTTAACTACATAATTACCTGTACGCTGCACGATGTTATACAGGCAGCTCTAGCGGCTTTCGCCAGTACTGGAACATCCATTCTGGCACAGGTGGTGAGATAGACAGCGCTGACTACGACGTCAGATACGACAGCCAGAAGGAGACACATCAAAAGTAGATTCATTTCTGAATGGAAAATGCTCTTGGGGATATCTTGGAAAATTTTGACACTACCGAAGTATCGAGCTAGAAATTACTGGAATCTATTGTAGCTGAGGGCTTTGAATGCGAAAACTAGTAGGTTGATGCATAATTATTGCGGATTTTTTCGTGGCTTTTTTTTCTCTCGATAGAATTTGAATATTGAAATCGGGTTTTTTCTAGAAATGATCTACTTGATTTCCTCCACAAGAATGTACCTAAAAACCATCCGCACATTCGCAAAATTAGGCTTTACTACTTCGAGAAAGATTGGAAGGTGGCACAGTCATTCCACGATCTCAGTAACTTTTCAGCGATCGTTCATTAGGTGATCTAGTGAAAGTACACATGATTTCCTGGTGGTCAAACATGGTCAAATACGGTCAAACATTTTGATTTTTTCCATTTCCGTGCATTTTACCTGCCTCTATATATTAGGTTTATGCATAATTATTGCGGATTTTTACAAAAAATTTTACTTAACGAATCGATAGAAATAATGAAAAAAAACATGTTCAAATAATTACTCTGGAACTTGTTCACCGTCTACGTCAAGCACTACTTCCCATTTATTAGTTAGTCGGATCCCAAAAGCGAAGAAGTTTT